GGGGGGGGGGGGGGGGGGGGGGGGCGTAAGAGATGGAGAGATTAATCACCTCAAGGCTAACGTTACTCGTACGATGTGTGAGGTGAGATTCTTGAGTTCCAAAGTGGAGTACCTTAGGAAAGCCATGATGCTGGAGGAGACCGCTAGCTTGTCCAATGCTAGCTAGTGTTAGCTTACAAGCCACAGACCATCCACCAGAGAATCACAGCCAAGCTTCAACAGAGACTACTGTGGAGGATCAAGCCGTTGTCAATGTTAATTACAGCTGTTGGCAGTTTGGGGATCATCAGAATAAAGCCAAGGTTTGGAAGTAGCCTGTCGACCTCTCTGCAAGGTAGCGTAGCAACTGGAAAAAGCCACTGGTTTAGCAGATCCCGTAGCGTAACCAGAGCACACAGAGAAAAAGTTGCAGAGTGTGAGAAAGTGAATCCAACTAGTAGCGTAACGTAGAAAACCAGATTAGTGAAGCAGCAGGAGTAGAATTGCAGAATAGCTGGAGTTGTGCGTATTGTTTGTGAGCGTGGGGCGGGCAAGATACTGAACCCTGAATCGCCCCTGTTCCGCCAGTGTATGAATGTGTGTGAATGTTAGTTTCTGTTTGAGCACTTAGGCTCAGTGTATGAATGTGTGTGAATGCAGATGTAGTGTAAAAGCGCTTTGAGTGGTCGAAAAGACTAGAAAGGCGCTATACAAGTACGGACATTACATTTGCATGAGAAGCGGCACACACAGCGTCCAATGATGATAATGAAAAAAAACAAAACAACCCAAATGTTGTTTGGTTAGCTCAGTTGGTAAAGTGCAAGATTTGCAACCCTACAGTTGAGTGTTCATCCCACATCCCACAAATGGATTCTGCAGTGAATGTTTCTCAGATCACAGTATGTGCTTCACTGTTTGTGTTTCGGTGTTTCATCCACACCCATCAACCTATGGGCGCTTTTTCATTTCCCCAGTATCCAGGCAGACAACATTTAGGGGAATCACATTCTTTGACGGCTCTTTCAGAGGTGTGTCGAGCAGGCAACAAACTTTAATGTTGTTCTGAATTTTTCGAAGTAAAAGCTCAGTTCAACTCCAAATACAGGATTGCAGTAAACATGCTTCTCATACTTTTTTAGGCAAAACTACTAAAGAGGAAGTGATTATATGAGTAACTGTTGCTGCCATGAATATTTCAGCACTGCTATCAAAGTATTTACCATAACAACCACACCTGCTCCAACAACTACTGCAGCGACAACGCCTGCTCTCACAACAACTACTACAACAACAACTGCCCCAACAACAACTACTCCAGGAACTACTACTACAGCACCAACACTTGCTCCCACAATAACTGCTGCAGCAGCACAACAACAACTGCTCCAACAACTAGTCCAGTAACTACTACTACAGCAACAACACTTGCTCCAACTACAACTACTGTAGCAACAACAACAGCACTTGCTCCAACAACAACTACTCCAGGAACAACTAGTCCAACAACTACCACAGCAATAACAACACCTGCTCCCACAACAACTACTGCAGCAACAAACCTGCTCTCACAACAACTACTGCAGCAACAAAACCTGCTCTCACAACAACTACTGCAGCAGCAACAACCACACCTGCTCTGACAACTACTGCAGCAACAACACTTTCTGCAACAACAAAACTGCAGAAACTACACCTGCTCCCACAACAACAACTCCAGCCAATACTACTACAGCAACAACACTTGCTCCCACAACAACTACTTTGGCAACAACAACAGCGCCAACAACAACACCTGCTGTCACAACAACTACTGCAGCAGCAACAACAACACAACAACAACTGTTCCAATAACAACTAGTCTAGTAACAACTACTACTACTACTACTACTACTACTACAACAACAACAACACCTGCCCCAACAACAACTACTCCAGGAACTACTACTACAGCACCAACACTTGCTCCCACAACAACTGCTGCAGCAGCAACAACAACAACTGCTCTAACAAGTACTCCAGAAACTACTATTACTACAACAACAACACTTGCTCCAACATCAACTACTGCAGCAACAACACCTGTTCCCACAACAATTATTGCAGCAATAAAAACACACTTGCTCCAAACAACAAACAACAACAAAACCTGCTCCGACAACAACTACTGCTGCAACAACAACAACTGCTCCAACAAGTAGTTCAGTAACTACTACTACTACTCCACAACATCTGCTTCCACAACAGCTACTGCAGCAGCAACAACGGCTGCTCCAACAACTACTCCAGTAACTACTTCTACAGCACCAACACTTTCTCCCACAACAACTACAGCAGCAACAACAATAACAACTGCTCCAACAACAACTAGTCCAGTAACAACTACTACAGCAACAACACTTGCTCCAACTACAACTACTGCAGCAACAACAAAACATGTAGTACGAAGATTTTTAAGTAATCAGCAAAGATTTGGTTTGGCCCCAGTCAATCCCCTTAGTAGAGAATGTTCCGATTTTTCACACAAAAAATGTGCACACTGCCCAGAAAAACACATGAAGAAACTTAATGTTTTTGTAAATAATGAATAGCTCAGATTTTTTCTATATCCTTTATTGGTGCCCATCATTATACGTTCCTCCCGTCGGTCTGTCTCCTGGCCACAATTAGTTTTCTACACTACCACAGGAACATCTTTCACTCTTGTATAGTCTACGTACTATATCAAAAAAAACTATCTTGTTCAGATTTACAGGAGGAATTGATAAAAAGAGACATCAAGGGGAATACATCAGGACAAACTAGATTATTTGCATTTCTTGAAGGAAATATGTGTGATTGCTAGATATGCTGCTGCTGCAGAAGAAGAATTATTTGAAATAAAGAGCTAAGATAACTAAAGTCTTACAATAAGTCTGAAATTAAGAGTGAAGCAAACTACACTACATCTCCAGCCCACTGTACCACTTACACAAACATACAAGTAATAAGTGTTTAAATGCAATTTATTTTCTGTTTCTGCAGCTTGAACCTGTGTTCCAAAGGACATTCCCTTCCTCCTTTAAGTCCTTGGATGTGGTGTCATTCAGGTAATTTCTTAAGACTTACCTGTTACAATTTAAGAGTAGTGGCCTAAGTCAGATTTTTCAATAATATTTTACATTTCTCATTCTGCAGAAATGGCTCAATCATCAGCGAAATGAACGTTCTCTTTGCAAGCACATTTGTTCCTAATAACACTCAGATTTCGAGCGCTTTGATCAGTGCTGCTTCAGTCGTCACCGGCTTTGACATTGAAGGCAGTTCCATCAACGTGAACGGCACACGTAAGCTATATTGTGTTTTTATTTATTTCAAAATGATACAAAACTGTCTAAATGTTTCTTTTTCTCCTCATTTACAGCATCAAGTGGAGTAAGCCACAAGATCAGTTTCATTACCGCATCCTGCCTGGTACTGTTGTCCTGGATTTTCTCAAGCCAGCAATAGCTTCAGTGCTGAATTCCATTTCATTGCTATCAGAACATGAATGCCATCACTGGTATGAAAAGGGACTTTGTTGTTAATAGTCCAAGATTCAATATTGGTTTTGGTCTTTGGTCTTGTATGGCTTCGGATGACCTTACAATCAAATGTACCTTTCCCTGACCGGAACTATTAATGACTATGAATTAGGTTTGTCTGTCGAACACTTTAAGCACCCGGTCCACTGAATTGTGATAAAATAAAAAGCTCAACCAAATAACAGTATTTATTAAGCCCTGGGATGTCAATTATTATTTGCAATATTTTACTATTTATGTCAAATGTATATATATAGTACATGCATTTTGGTTCTCTGGGCACTGTACTATAAAAATATTTAACTTTGTGTAAAAATCACTCTCACCATTGCTTGAATGTAGTTTCCAAAAGCATGTAAAATTCATGTTTAGGTTTCACTTGCTAACCTAGCTGCATGACATACTAGCATAACATAGCAGCACGAACATAGCAACATAACATAGGATAACAACACAACATGGTCATTGTATAAATTATATATATGTATAAACAACGCTTTGTCAATTTTTTATTTATGCAAAGTTTATTTATGTAATCATATGTAAAGCTGTATTCTATGAGACTTGTTGTAGTTTGCACAATTTCTGTCAGAAACTTTACAATGATCAGAATACAAAATCTTTCAAGAATTTAAATTGTCTCTCGTTTGATGTTTTGCAGTTTTGGTGAGTAAAAATAAAGTATATAAGTGCATGTTTAGTGCCAGGAGCTTTAATTCAATTTCACAAGAGCGTTTAACAATGAGCTGGTCTAATCCTTTGTTATGTCGGTGAATCAGGTTTGTTCAGAGAGAGAGAGAACTGGGAGTGGCACATAGTTAGCTATAAGATTGTTATTTATTCAAATACCAGACTTTCTCAGAGACACATTGTTCTTAAATCACCTCAAACTCAGAGTAACAACCAGCATCAAAATCAGAATCAAACATTGTCAGAGTTAGGTTTCCATGATGGCTCTCACAAAATAAGAAGAATCAGAAAATCTGATGCATTGCAGTGTTGGTGAGATGATATTAATGAAATACTCGAACCAGTCTTTCAGCCTAACATGGCAATACTAAGTTTGTTTCACAGCAATCACTCATAGATTATATTTCAATGCATTTTCGGCTCATATTTTCCATAACACTTATATTGCAATAGAATTAAGGATGCCACAGTAAAAAAAATATTTTGCATAAATCTTCTTAGGAACTTGCCATCTACTCATTAAATGCAAAATTTTCCTATTTAAGCTTTTAAAGTTGATCGTAGAGGCGAGTATAAACTTATTGTCAACAAAGAAGAAATTAAGAATGACTTTCACAAACTGATCCCAAAAATCTAATTGTGAACTCGTAACACAAATGAATAAGCTGGTTAGTAAGCTAAGTCCTAGCTGGACACACATTTTGCCTTTATTGTCAAACACTGAAGGCAAAATCTCTAATCTTTCAAATTTTTAGTAAGAGAACAAAGACTGTGGGCTAGAATTATGGTGGGCTATATCTTTAGTCCTCACAATCTTGACAGTTATTCTGAACAGCGACCACACCTCTTCAAGAAATAGTAACCACCACAACTGTGACTTTTCCATCCACACAAAAAACAGTAACTGATTGAAACAGTATCTAGACATTTGTGTGCTAGATACTGCTAATTATATAAGATATAGTTATTAATTTTAATACACAATGAACACAAACAAGAATAATACAAACAATACCTTTTAATAGACTTTTCTTTGGGTTAGGGTTAGTATTTTTTAAGGGTGTATCTGGTGTACTGGGATACCTTGAATCCTGCCCTGCTCCTTTGTTGAATTGAACAAGGGGTGTTTTATTGCTAATAAATTTAGTGTTTTATTTGTGGGATGGAGAATGTGATATTTATTTAAAATATTTACATAGTCTTCCTTTCTGCAGTCCAGGCAATGAAAACATCAACTGCATTGGCTGTCCTCTGTTGCCCAAAATGTAATGTGCAGTCATTTATGTTATGTTTGACCAAGGTCTGGAATGTATTATGGAATAATTATTTATCACTGGGAAAAGACAACACATTCTCACTCAACTCTTCACAAATGACCCTTGGTCAAGACCTCTCGGCATCACTTTTTAGTGCACTGGGTAACCCTTTGGCGACGTTTTTCGACTTTTAGGGCTCAGGTGTCAAGTTAGCAACAATAAATATGCAATGTTCGGTTACACTTTCAAAATAAAATAACTTCTTTACGTTAAAAAAAACTACATTACCCATGTCAATTCTCTTACATAACTTAACATACATTACTTGCATAACATGGGCAACTTATGTAACTTATGTGAAGTTGTCTTTCTTTTCTTGTCTCATAAACTGAAAATGTTTCAGTTTACAAGTGTTGTTGGCACTTATTAATTAACTATTCATTCCACGTTTAAACACGTACTATTACTCTCTGATATTTGAGTGTGAGTGTTTGAGTCTGCACTGTTTGAAATCTAACCACTTTTCAACCCTCTTTTCTCAACATATTGTATCCTTCAATAACTTTACTATGGTAACATGTGGTTTGCTTGGAGTATCATGCCTAAGATAACATTATTTTATTCATGTTTATTTAAACATTCATCATTTCCAAGGTATAAGACAAAGCTGAAAAAATACCATCTTACTTGTCTATCCCCTCTAAAACATGTCTCTCAGGCCTTAGAGCCTCCACTATATTTAATTTTATTTGAGGGGTCAATAAATCGGTTGCCCCCCACCCCCCCCCCCCACCCCACCCCTTCCACCCACACACCCACACACACACACACACACACTATTTTGTTGTTGGAACAAAATAATTTTAAAGAAATAGCCTACCCACTTGCTCTTTGATCTTGTGATGGGCATTTTTAACTAATTTTTCTAAGGATTAATTGCTAATAAAAAAAGATACATTAGATAGTGGCTCTGTAATGATCACATGACAGCTTGGGGGGGTGATTAACTATTATCATTTGTTTTAATAGATGTTATTTTGATATTGCTGCTGTGTTGCTTTTGCCCCCCTTACTATAGCCTACATTGTGCTTCACTGCTCTCTCAGTAATGTTGACAGAATGAAGCGAAACCATCCTGGCTAAGAAACGGTTATTTTTTATATCTGCTGATCAGCGGAACCGGAAGTGGAAAAGCATGGATTAGTGTGTTTACAACTCATATCATCCTGAGTGTACACGGCATTATCCTGCACGCCAAAACAGACCCAAGCAATTTGCAGGCTCGTGCTGCCTGACCCATAATACATCCCTGTTGTACTTTCTTAGTGAGGACTAGGAGTTATTATCTCGGACTAACTGTGTGAGACCGTTATCTTCCGCAGCGTCGGGCCACCCACCATCTGTGGAAGTGGGACAAGGGAACAGATGGCGCATCCAAGTCGGCCTGCAGGGCTGCTGACGCTGACTGTTAGGACAGCACTGGAGACGAGTATGAGTGATTAAAATAAAAGGCAGTCGGTGGTAATTGCACAGTGTATTTTGCAGATTTAACGATGCCAGAGTGACTTGTATAAGAGTGACAGAAAGCATCGTAGTTTGACCAAATTGATGCGCGACGACTCGACCAGTGGCATCAACTTAATCCCTTTTGACGTATCTCCGGGTCGGTGAACAATGGTTGACAACCGCTACGCTACAGCTCTGGTCATCGCCTGTGTGTTGAGCATACTGGCCACAGTGTATCTGTCAGTGGCCATCGGGACTCAGCACTGGTACCAGTACAGCAGCCCCACCGTGCGCGGGGAGGCTAACGTATCAGAGCTGCGCTCCCTGTATGAGGAGTTCATGGATGGGGAGTTTGATGAGAAAACCTACAGCGACACCCTCTTCCGCCTTAACGGGACTGTGGGCCTCTGGTGGCGGTGTGTGCTCGTTCCTGCCAACGGTCTCTGGTACAAAGAGCCAGGTATGTAAATAACTCACCTCACCTAACCAAACAGTCAAACTACTTTTATTTCAGATACATCGGTCCATATCAGTAAAATAAAAAATAAATAAAGAGGTACAATAAAAAGACATACAGTGCAGAAACATGTAGGTACAAGACAGATGAGTCATTAGTTTTTTTTCTCAGAAGTTCAAGAAGCTGCTGTCTGGGTTTATTAATTAATTAATGGGTTCTCCCAAACAGTTTAGTGGAGGTGGTAAGCCACCCAGACCCTGATAGATCTGTCTCATGATGATCAAGGCTGGATTGCCAATTGACATTGTCAGTGTAAATTATTTAGTATTTTGTGTGTATTTTGAAAACATCTGCTGCAGTATGTACACGGCAGGTAGAAAATACACACAACAATCTAAAGTATATTAGAAAAAAAAGTTAATGTGTATGTGTTATTTGTAGTAAACTGTCTAAAACATGCTTAGACTCTGGTTCTTCAATTAAACAACCTCTTTCAGATTCCAAGATGATGCTAGAGTGTCGAAGCTTCACTCTACCTCAGCAGTTCACTCCCAAGTATACAGAACCGGGAAACCACAACAGTGGAGAGGACATGCTGCGCACCTGTAAGTCCAGTCACAACAAGTTTACCTCTATTTAAATGTTAGATGTTGCATGAAGCTGTAAGAAAATTTGCACCAGATTCAGCCTCTTCTCTCCATTGTGCATTAATTATGACCAATATGTGATGTTGAATAATACATTGCCTCCAGTCAGGGTTGCTGCTTCTGTCATGCATAAGAAGGTGTGTAAATAAAAACTTCAGCAACCATGATGCACAAGGTCTCATACCTTTCTGTGTGTGTGTGCATGTATTTATAGACTTGTGGAGGTGCCAGTTTCTGCTGCCACTGGTGTCCCTGGGTCTGGTTGTGTTGGCAGGCCTGACTGGGTTCTGTGCCTGCCTCTGCCAAAGCCTCACCCCTACTCTGGGCATAGGAGTACTTCACCTGCTGGCTGGTAAGACCTATTTAGCTGCACAGAACTGCTAACTGATACCTGGCTGATTTCACCATTTGAGTCACTAAATTGGTTAAAGGAGCAAAAAAGAGAGTGTATTGTGGGATTTACATTCATGAAGTGGCCAGAAATAAAAATCTTAATGCTAATGTTGTTTGGTGTCTGTTGTTTGCTAACATGTTCGCCATATTGACTTTATAAAATGAAAAAGTATGTTTACAGATTGTTGTGCTGCCTTACACTATGATGAGGGTTTATGTGTTTTACATCAACCTGAAAAGTCCTCTAAAGATGCCCCCTTACAGCCACTCTTCTGTGCCCTGCAGGTCTCTGCACCTTAGCCACAGTATGCTGCTACCTGGCCGGCATGGACCTGCTCCACAGGGTGTCAATGCTACCTGATAAGGTGGATGGCTCTCTGGGCTGGTCCCTCTACTTGGCCCTCATTTCCTCACCACTTCACATGATGGCTGCCGCGCTGCTGGTGTGGGCCGCACGCAGCCACAGTCAGAACTACTACCGCATGACCGCCTACCGGGTGGCATAGCTCTGGATCTGCCCTGTTTAAATTCATACACCACTCTGACACCAAGATACATTTTATAATGATCT